GTTAGTAATTGACATTCAGGTTATTATAGACAAAAATGAAGAGGATTTCAAAAAGACAAACTTACCAACTTTTTTTCCCATTCCTTATTAAGATCATCCACATAGGAGAGAACAAAATCAATTCTCCTGACACCATCCCTGAAGAAAATAGAATCTTTGCTCTGATGTCTTTTATCAATCTGTAGAAGATACAGGCACATGAATTAAAAAAAAAAGTATTGCTGTTTCTCTGAAATATAACAGAAGGCAAAGAAGCTTCCCAATTTTGCCACAATTCTTCAGTTTCTTTACAGCAGAAGATATACAAGATACACAAGTTTTAACGAGGGCTAGACATGGTTTAAATAATTTCAAAATTAGCTGCATTTTTTCTGCAAGCATTACATGTGAATAATTGGTAGAGAAAGAATAAATATACATATGTTAGTGTAGCAATATTTGTGAATACTTGAAGCAGGTAGCAAAATGTAAATTCCATGCATTTTCCCCAACAAAACAAGATTCACTAAATCAACCACAGAGACACGTGTCCCAGCAATAACCACATAAAAACAGCTCACAAAAATACAGGGGTGACATTTCAAAATGAAATATTTACTTTCATGGGAAAAAAAAAATACATCTAATAAAAGATATCAGTGTAACAGGGCAATTAGAGTTGTAATTGATCTATTAAAGGTCATATTTTAATTGACCAACATGCCAGAATGTCATAGTAACAACATCCACCTTGATCACTCRTTAGGCCACAGTAATGAATTCATTCCTGTTAGGCAAACAAAAGGCTGCAACCCCACTCTGCTAGGGAAGTTAATTAATATTAGGTAATATTATATTATTTATTACCATATCAATATCAAATCATGTACAGTACACACAGCAAAGTGCTCTCCACATATTCTAATTTAAATGCAACTCTGCACTGAGGAAGGTTGGTGCTATTTTTCCAACCACACCCATCAGCCAAAGCACATTTGCACGGGGCTGAATTGGGTTTTTTATTTTATTAGAGTGGGAAAAAAWTAGGATAATTCAGAGTGTCTTTTCCCTCTCCCACCATGCAAGGAGAGCTCCCTAGAAAGCAGAGAGCAGTGTTTAGAGCTGTGAATTTGCTGCCAGTGAAGCAGATTATAAATTATTGCAGCTCTCCACGCCAGCACCCAGCACTGYTTTACCCTGAGGCGCCGCTTCAGGAACAGGTTGAACTTCCTTCCACTCTGCTGGAATAACCAACAAGGAGTTAGCAGGACCACTGCTTCCCTCCAACTGCTTCAAACACACACATCCCAACCACAGGGAGAGAGAAATCTCCTTCTAGAGCTGGGAAAAGCCTCCAACCACCAGAAAAAGCACCCACAGATATTATCACTTTCATGTCTTTTTAATTAAAGGCAGAATCTGTTCTGATAGCAAAAATGTGTGCCCTGGCACAGCAACAGCCTTGGGCACTGCAGGCAGCTGCCCCTCGGGGCTTTAGTCCTATACCCAAAAACCAAACATGTTTTGCAGGGTGCACCTGGATTATTTAATCCCAATATGTTTATGGGGCTCTGAGGGGTTTCTGTTTCTGGTTATGCACCCGACAGGAAATGTGTCCTTGCAGGTCACTCTCAACTTGCAGCCCAGAGCTTCTTCCAACACATTCTGCTGCCAAACATCCCAGCCCTCTCCATACCCACACCTCAAAGACAGGGAAACTTGTCCCAGAGCAATGCTTTTCAGATTAATATTCATTCAGAAAACTGCAAATTCCTTGAAGGCCTCCATTCAGAAACACCATTCACAAACTCAGTGCCTCACACCTCGAGGTTTCCCAAGGTCCCACAGAGCTGGGACTGCAGGTTCAGACCTCAACACCTTCCTCTCCTGTTTTTGGACCTTTTTTTTTGTGGGCAGGTGGTTTGGAGTAGCATTTTCAGTGACAAAGCAGTGACCAGCACCAATCAGAGGAGGAGGAACCCATTCATTTCATCAGTCACAACACAGGGATGTGGTAATGGGAATGCTGAGAGGTCACATTAACACCAAGAAATGGTTTTTATGATCCCCATCAGCACATCAAGGAATTACATTATCACACTCCTACAACACCAGGCAAAAAACCTACCTGAAATTACAACATTTTGTTGATTTGTAACATTTTTGCTGGCTTAAAAGATACAGTCTACAAACCAAGTATTTATTTTAATAACTGCATAAAATCAATAATCACACAGGCAAATAAGAGTTAAAACAGGCAGTGTAAAAATTCAAAAGAACTACATTAAAATGCAACGAGGTAATTTATGAATAAGCAACCCACTAAGCAGAAAAACTTTCAGAATACAGAAATGGACAAARATAGAAGGTTTGAATCAAAATACAAGAAAAGCCTCCATAACTGAAAGGGKAGGAAACATTCAATGGCTTAAAAGCAAAGTTATCACCTTCACTCAGATCCCCAGTTTGCATGGAATATTTATATATTCCTCCTTTCCACTGAATAAAAACAGGAAAAACACACAGATTTAAGTGCTGCTGTGCTAAATATAAATATATATATTTATAAATATACATACATTTAAGCATAACTTTATAAACACATATATAAATGATATAAATATATTTCCAAAAGCAAAACAATGCTGGAAATACATTTACAAACATTACATTTACATTTACAAACACACAGGCACTCTCCTGAAAATCAAAATGGCAAATTTCTGGTTTATGCACTCAGTTCCCATTTTACCAGAGAGTCTCTTGCCATGAAGTTCTCCTCATTATTCTTCCCTGAAGGAATCCACACAACTGAAGAGCTCAATCTCTTTAAAAATGTCTATTAACAACACCTTTAACACCACCCATCCCAATTTCCAGCTGTACTTCATGCAGGCTGTAAGGTTGCATACAAAACTTTAACCTTTCCCATTCAAAAAACCACAAAATCCCACATATTTCTTGCACCTAAAACTTGCAAGCTGCTTTTTTTTGCCTTCAATTCTGAACCACATCAAAACCTGAGCGCTTGAAAACATGCATTTCAAAGCAGTTTGAAACACCAAAATATTTGCACTGAAATACAGATGCACATAAAAAGCCTCTCTGGGTAAAAAGAACACAWTAAACAGGAACAGAACAAAGTAAAATAAAATAAATTATGCTAGGAGAGCGTACATGTTAATGGAAGACACCAGAGCCCAAAGGAAGCAAGCAGACAGTTTTAATTCATCTCAGCATGTACTTCCTTCAGTTACCTTCAACGCATTTTTGCACTTTTTCTCCATAAAATAATAGTGGTTATTTAAAGTTTTCTGATATATTTGAGAATTTAYATAGTTGTCTTGTCTGTGAATTTCAGTGAGTGGCTATTCTGAGCCTTTCTTTGTTATTTACTACAATGAAATATTAAAAAAATGAAATATTAAAAAAAAAGAAAAAGAGGTAATCTATTTCAAATAGTGTCAGTGTTTGTTTCTTGCTCTTTTAAAACATTTGAAAGTATCATGCTGACTCACAGAGCCCTCAGGCCATCATGATAAAAAAGGAATCCCACATTTGTTAATAACACCACAGTCAGAATATACACCCTGAATCCCATCAAACCAAAACAACCATAAAAAAAAAGCAAACTTTCCAGTTTTCACCACCAAGCTTCACCTTTCAATTTTGTCTGTTATCCTTTCGATTTGCTTCCATTTACCTTTTAAATCTTTTATCCTTTAAATGCAAAACTGCATTCGTTTTTGCATTTAAACAAGCCAGAAAAAAAAAAAAAAAGGTTTTAGAAGGATGGCATCCTTGAAACTGGAAAATTTCCTGGTGAGGGACGGTTTTGGCATAATGCCACACAAATTCATGCAAGGAAGCATGAATACTTCTCACTGCTTACCACTTGATGTCCAGGGATGAGTAAAGTAGTCTCAGTGCTGCTTAGACCCTGCCAGTGGCATCACGGGAGAAACATAATGTTGTTAGCATTTGGTGCAAAGGAGGTTTTAAAATAAAAGGCTAATTCAGAAGAAACATTGAAGTTTCTGTTTTCAGCTGCTGGAAAGCTCTTCTGAGTGACAGGTGGATTTTCAGTCCATTTTTATAGAGTTTAAACCAACCTCTGCTTCCTCAATCTCCAGCCCACACCACTGATTTTTATATGCTCCAGACTGATTTTTTAGCATTAATAATTACAATTTTTGGTAAGAGTTAAACAGCATTCCTCATCATTTCCACTAGAAAAAAAAACACAGCCTAAAAGAGCTGGCACAGATYACCGTTTGCAAACTGTTAACAGTACTTTTATTAATTTTTATATCAAAGAGAGAAAAGAGCACAGGTGGCTGTGCTTGTGACTGGAACAAATGAGACACYAATTACTCAGCTACCTTTTAAATGCAATTGTACAATGTGCACTGAGCAAAAAAGAATGCAAGGAGACAAATCCTTAATCTCACCAGGAAACAAATCCTTAATCTCACAGTGTTTGGAGAAGGTAAATTGGTACCAGTAAATTGGAGACCAGTGAGGGCTTCCCAGCTYCCAGTTTTGATCCATGGCTTTGGGATCAGGCTCTGCTATTGGAATGAAGAATGCCTCTCAACATCTAATGATCTTAGCCAATAACTTATCCCACTTCTGTTTTATTTTTCCTTTTGGGTGTTTTGAACACAAACCACAGACAGAATTTAACACTCCAACCAAACAGTGCAAGTGCATTATGAAAATGCAATAGTTCTCTATGGAATTAAATTAACTTTCAACATAGGCAGAATTTTATTATTCTACCATCATTTACTGGTTTACAGTTGTAGGACTTCAAAAAGTTTATTGTCCTTCTCTATGGAAATAAACTCACTTTCAATAGAGGTAGAATATGAACAGCATTTTATTATTCTACCATCATTTACTGGTTTGGAGTCGTAGAACTTCAAAAAGCTTATTACCCCAAGCCAAATTTTCATAAAGTAATGTTTATTATTTTTAAATAATATTTTTCACTTTTATCACCTTTTTTTTTTTTTTTTTTTTCTTGAGAGAAACCATTCTACTCCTGTTCTGGTTGCACATCAAGTAAAACACACATTCTTTCTCAATGATGCCATCTCTGGGTATTTGCTTATCTAAGTAAGTCAAAAATGTCCTTTTCCAAACACAGTAAAATAAACACAGGAAGATCAATGTGGTTTTTGGCAAGGAATCCCCCTGAGGAACAGTGCAAATATAAATAGCTGCACTGTGCTCTTACCATAAGTTGGGTTTAGAAGTCTAGACCTCGTGTCAGTGATGCTACTGCAAAAACCTGCACTATCAGTAAGGGCTGACACACTTCAGTGGAAAGTTTTTCTCCAATTATACACTGCCAAATTATATAAAATTACAAGTACTGTACAAACTGAGCATGGATGACAGCACAGCCTGGCATTTCAGCACTGCCCTACAGCTCCTGATCTCTGCATTTCACCCATTCCCACCCCATCCACACTGAAACATTTCTGTCTGCTTCTATTTTCTAGATTTTGAAACCTGCTTGGTCCATCTTTGCAATATTAACATTGGTATTTTTACATTTCTCTACTTGAAAATCCGCCAGTCTGAATCAAAAAGTGAACAGGCATAATGTACATTATGATGGTGTTTCTTCAGAAAAAAAAAGCCCCAAACAATTAGATTTGAACACCTGCAGCACCTSCTGCACTGAAAGAAAGACAACAATCTGTGATAAGCCAAATTTTAAAAATGCATTGTTTAATGAATTTGATGGAGCTCTGCCAACTTACCTCTGCTAACCTGCACCTTGTTCTCAGATTTTCTTATCATCAAGATACATTATGGAAAACCCTGATTGACAGGATTTTTTTTGTAAGAATTTCACTGGTGTGTAATGACCAGAAAGGTAAAAATTCAATGTCTGACTGTGCAAAATCAACTTGTAACTGCTCACAGCAGAAGAGGGCACATTCCTGCATTCTCACTGAGCAGTGCAGTCACCTGCCTTTTATGAGGCAGAGTCCACGTTCATACCAARCAGACATTTAAAATTACTTTGTACTTCTTAATTGGAATAAAAAACAGTCCTCTGTACAGACAGACCTCTACAGGCATTGATAAACTACAAATTCAGTAATTCAGTCTTGCACAAAATATGCGTTGATTTTACACTTATCCCAAATTTAACACAAATTCAATTTTTTAACCTTTCTTCCAATCTTGAAACGAGTGATTTTCTTTCCTCTTAAGCACAGGAATTCTCTTTTGTCAGTGGTTTCATYTTCATTTACTTTGTAACTGGAACAACTCATTACAATATCCCTGAGCAGACACACTGTTACAGATTTTTCTAGCACTCTGCACAAAACGCAGAAGAAAAAAAAAAAATATTTCTCGAGTTTTATTTCATTCATTTTCCCATTTGTTTGAAAGGACTTTCAGAGCAGGAACTCCATAAAGGCTGATTCAGGTTTGTTCTTCACAGGGATTCACTTAGGACAGCATCCCTACCAGAGTGGCTGTGCATCCCTGATTTAACAAGGATTTCATTTCAAGCAGTCCCCATTAAAGCACTTATTTTAAAACATCCCCATCACATCCCTTTTTTCCCCCTCCTCCAGTATGCTGTTTGCTGAAAACACCTCCCTGCCTCCCTGCATGACAAAGCATCTAGAAATGATTAATGCTCTAAGAACGAGTATGGGATAYGAAAAGCTGTTGAACTCCAAGTGATCTCATTTCTTTTGCCCCTGTGGTAGATTAAAGGATGAGAAAAATGAGACTCAAGAAGAAGCAGATTTTAAAAACAATAAAAAATTCAAGGTGAAAGAGGYAAGAAAGCAAAATCATGAGGGACCAAATGCACCATTGATTGGTGCTCAAATGCTTTTTGAGCCCTGGACTTCATCCAGCTTTTGTATATATCTTGGCAGGCTTCACTACCAACTGCTCTTCACTTTTTGTTTGACTTGCATCATTCCTTACATCCATCTCATGTATTTCTTTTGCAGATTATGAAAGAAAGAAAAAAAAAAAAACCTCAACCACTGAATTATGGATGGGTAATGTTTTTGCTCTCCATATTAAATCTAAATTTAATTTTTAGATTTTTTTTTTCCTCCTCTGCTGTTAAACCAACAATAAGGCCTTAGCTTTCACTCTGTTCTGCTGAACACAAATATACTGGATATTACATTTTTTCTCTTCCAAAAGAAAAGACAGCCTGAGCATAATGAAGTGGTGACCTGAGTGTAAGTTCATTTAACTCTTTCCCAATGGAAAAGAAATTCTTCCAGTTTATACAGAAATGGTGCCAACAACAAGAGATCAGCATGATATGGGAAAAAATCCCATAAATATTAGAGGCTATCTTACTAYTGGAATGAATTAGTGAAAAATTTTYAAGTATAGACTGAACCTGAGTTCTGGGATATAAATCATCAAGAACTAAGCCTGTCATGGCTGAGGAGTGTGAAACTCGGCAAGAAGATCAAGAATAACTCTGTTACTTTCTGTCTGGCTAATGTACAGAAAGAAAAAAAAATCAGATAAATGAAAATGGAACATTGGGCAGGATAGGGCAAAGCTCAGGGAAGTGCTAATTTAAATGAAAGCAAACATCAGAGAACCAGCTGAGCTGCAGAAACAAAGACCAAACAAGCTGTCTCAGAGGGAGCAATGAAAACAACAAAACAAAGCTCCCAACTCATCAATAACTTACTGATATTGCTAACAGGACAACACTGTGTGATTTTTAATAACAAATTATGAAGAAAAATAATTATGTAAGGAAACATCAAAGTAGAAAACAAGAGAAAAGGCTGCATGAAGTTACCAAAGAGAGATTTTTGGGAGGATAACCAGATATGTTTTTCCCAGACATGAATGTGCTGAAGATMAAAGCCTCCTTTTCCCACCCTTTCACCCTTCAAACAAGGTTCAAATCCCACATCTCTACACACAGGACAGGTGTTGCTGTCCTGGTTCTCCCATTTTCCTGCCTTTTCCTGTGTTCTAAGTCATGAAGTGACTCTTTCCAAGTTTTGGTGAAATGGGCAGAGACACTTTGATTAGCTCAGAATCACTCATCATGGTGAGGATTCACACACCAACTGCAGAGCATTGCCCATTGCTCAGGGAAGCACTTGGTACGGCTGTTCACCAAAAATTCTGATGAGTACAACCCCTACAGCAGATCCAGAAGGGAAYAGGGTGAACATATGGACAAGTTTTAAGATGGAACTGGTGCATTTATGAAAATACTGGGATGATACGACCAGCAGGTCAGCAACACGACACGCAGCACAAAACAAAGCATTCCATGAGGAAATGTGAGGAAAYATTATGTTTTTCCAGTTGCCAAAGCATTTAAAGATTGTGTGATTCTCCTTCCAAGGCTGACACTGGGGACACCATTAAGCTCACACTGGAAAGTCTCTCCTGAGACTCACTGAGTGTCAGGGGTACATTCATGATTTTGCTCTTTCAAAACAATACAGGAAGAAAATGTTTCCATGGATAAAAAAGAGGTATAAGACAATCTAAAAGAAATATTAGTTTTAAAACTAATTGTTTTTTTCACAGGAGCCATTCTTCTTCATTCCTACCAACAGTACATGAACTAACCCCATCCATACTGTACCTTACCTCAGAGCTGCTCGGGATTTCTGATCCTGAAGTTGAAACAGTTTCACATAAAGGTCCATTGCATTCTTCCCCTAAGGAACATTGAAGAAGAGATTCATATAAATACATTCCTTATTTTAAAATGCTGTTGTATCTGAAAATTATGTGGAGCTTGAAGGCGTGGAACTATGAACAAGTAAAATAGGGAAAACAAAATTCATAATACTCATAATACATAACATAAAATCTTCAGGAGTGGTTCTTTGGAGATGAAAAAGTGCTGCAAGACACAATATACTCACTTGCACTACCTTAGTGTCACCTTGCATCACAGGAATATAATTTTTAACCAGGACAGAAAAAAACCTGTGGTCATCACATATCTTTCTTGTCTCAAATTTCAACCAGGTCTAAGAGGGTCTCACACTCARACCTTTGCTGCCTTGGTTATGGAAGTTCAATCACCTATGGGATTGTTTGCTAGAAATCAAATTAGAGTGTGATTTTTTTTTGCTAAGAGGTTTTAATGATGCGTAACCTCAAGATTACGGATGCCCACATAATGGAGACATAACAGGATCAAGATTAATAACATGAACTTAATTACTAAGCTTATTGTTTGGAAAAAAAACCACAAAACCTAAAAAAATAAATAAAAGCAACTCCAAAGCAGCAACAATGATAAAACAAACCAAACAAAAAACCATGCCTTCATTTTAACAGCAGTAGTGAACTCCAACATGACTCTTCCACAAATACAGTCATTTCACCAAGTACACTGTTAGTAAAGCCTTAATGTTAAGGGGGAATCATATTTAGTACCTTCATAATCTCAAATTGGATTGAGACCCTGGCTGGGTTTGTGCCCCTGAACATCAAATATTTGATGTCAAAATTGCATCCAAGTTGGAAATAAACTGGTTCTTCAAAAATATATAACCAAGTACAGCTTGAGAGCATCTTGTTTCCTGCAATTTTCTTCCTCTAAGTTCACTTACAGAAAAYGGTCTCTGTAATTTACAACCAGACACCTGATATGATGAGAAACCGAGCAGTGGCACATAAAATGTAACAAATTCCTGAATGCTGCAGATATGAGCTGAACACAGGGATAAAGAGCAGGAGCATCCCCACCACGCTGCACTGCCCAAACCCTGGGACAGGGGAACAAGCCCAGGGCCCAGCAGAAGAAAACCCAAACTTTTTGTCCCACAACTCTCTGATTTTAAACCAGGAGCAGCGTGGCACCTCATCCCTGCAGCCACAACATCCCATTGCCCACGCTGCTGAGGGAACTTGAACTGATTCAATGCCTCCGTGTGGGTTTTTTTGGTTTTTTTTGCCGGATTTCATCTCGCCTGCAGTTGTGAAAGTCTAACCTCAGAGCAAATATAATTCAGAGTTCCTCATTTAAAACACTTTCCCATCACCACAGCTGAATACCCGTGCAACTTGTGGAAGGAAATCTTCTTGGTAGCTCTGAAATAAATCCAAATAACTCCAGGGCAGCACAGGAGAAGGTAAAAAAAGAACGCAAAACGTGTATGAACCAAAAGGTACAACAAACTAAGTGTGTTCCCTCCTTGTAAAACACATCACCAGAACACAACAGTGCACACCCAAATCACTCAGGAAGCTGCAGAGGCCCCATCCCAGAACTGCACCAAGCACAGGAAGGGAAATGCCCAGAAAGCGAAACCTCCCTTAACCAGCAGAGAGCCAAAAATTGACTTGCAAATCACTCTGTAAAAAGCCTGGCTCATTTGTGATATCAA